GAAGAGGGAAAGAGAGAAGGAGGGAGGAAGAGAGGGAAGGAAGCAGGGTGGGAGGGAGGAAAGAACAAACCTGTATCTAATTCTACCTCTAGCCCTACCTTCCAACTTGTATTTGTATCTGTTTCCAAAACAAATACAAGGCATGGAGGACTATTGATAAATAACAAAACAGAATTCAAACAATCAAATTCACAATGTGGAAAATTTCACAGAACAAACGGACTTGTTCATAAATAAAGGGAGAGGTAACTCTAATAATCTAAAAGAAATTTAACAGATATATTAACCCAGTGTAAAACATATGCTTTATTTGGAACCTGATTTGGGGGAAAAAAAAAAAACTGAGAGGACACATTTGAGGTAACTAGGGGAGAGAAAATATGGATCAGATATTAGAAAATATGAAGGGACAGTTGTTTATTTTGTTTTGGTATCACATGCTTTGAACGAGATCAATGTGGAAGAATTTATTGGTGAAACTACTGTTTTCTAGGATTAGCTGTTGAATGTTCCAGGGGAAGAAAATCCATGGGAAAGAATAGATGAAACAAGGGTAGGTTGCTGATTCTTGGTGAAAGTAAGGCATGGCTATGTGAGGTCACTTGCTAATTTCTCTAATTTTTGTGGTTATTTGAAGCCTTCTCTGGTGGTGCTACTGGTAAAGAACCTCCCTGCCAAGGCCGGAGATGCAAGAGACAGGGGTCTGATCCCTGGGTTGGGAAAATCCCCTGGAGAAGGAAATGGCAACCCACTCCAGCATTCTTGCCTGGAGAATCCCATGGACAGAGGAGCCTGGTGCACTACCCGCCGTGGTCGCAAACAGTCAGACATGACTGAGCACACCCTCACACATGTTACAAAGTTCAAGATGAAGTGGAGGGGTTAATGTCTGCTGAGTTGAGAGCAGGTGTGTCCGGATGCAGATTCCAGTCCCTAGACTATGGGCAGACAGCCAGAGCTCGGCTCTTTTGTTCATACCCTTTCTCTGCCTACAACTGGGAGAACTGGGCAAAGGGCATTCAGGTCCCATTCTAGTTTCAGAAGTATCATCAATCTCTTTTTTGGCTTCAGTTCCAAACTGCATCCTCCGGCACAATTTGCACACAACGCTTTACTCTGGAAAAGAAAAGTGATCCTTTGAATCTAATTTAGCTTGGATCGTGGTGATTACATTCTATCAGCAGAACCCTGGAGGGCAGAGAGTCATCTGTACCTGACCCACAACTGCAGGGAACCAGTCAGATAAGAGAATGACAGAACTGCTGAATCAAGCAAAGGAATTCTGAGGATAAAGGAAAATGATGCATGTTCCTCAGCTAAGGTCAACTAGTCAGGGTAATAAAGATGTTAAAAATCTGAGAAAGTGGGATTCAGTGTTGGCACAAGTCCCTAAGAGAGCAGAATAAAGACCAAAGACACAGTGGGAGGAATGAGCATCAGAAAGAGAGATGATTTGTTGTTCTGTACATTGGTGGGAAGAAGGAAAAGGATAAAAGAAGCTACAGTGACAAGTTGAGATTGAGATGAAGGAGACTGAAGTGGATTTTCCCTGGTGGATGAAACCTTTGGAATAAGAAAGAGAGAAAGGCAAGGGGCTTGAGCCCAGAGCTAGAATAACAATGATGGTAGAAAGGCTGATCTATCTGGCCACACTTCAGTGATGGCCCAGGAAAGGAGCTGCGTATCTGTGGGTGGAGGTTGTGGGGAGGACAAATACCGAGCTTCCAGGTTCCCAGGGGACATTTGAATGCAACTTATGCTTCCTGAGTGGTGCAGTGGTAAAGAATCTGCCTACCAATACAGGAGATGTGGCTTTGATCCCTGGGTGGGGAAGATCCCCTGGAGAAGGAAATGGCAATCCACTCCAGTGTTCTTGCCTGGAGAATCCCATGGACGGAGGAGACTGGTGGGCTATACTCCACTGGGTATCAAAAGAAGCAGACACGTCTGAGCAACTAAACAACAGAAACAGCAAAAGTCACACTGTGTGGCTACTCAGATGGAAAAGTTGGGCCTCAAATGAAAGGGCTTTTAAAAAAACATTTTATTGGAGTATAGTTGCTTTACAGTGTTATGTTACTTTCTACTGCATAACGAAGTGAGCCAACTGTGAGTGCACATATACTTCCTCTTTTTTGGATTTCCGTCCCATTTAGGCCACTGTGGAGCAGTAAGAAGAGTTTCCTGTGTTGAGCAGTATGTTCTCGTTACTTAGCTATTTCATGAAAAGTGAAAGGGAAGTCGCTGAGTCGTGTCCGACTCTTTGCGACCCCATGGACTGGAGCGTACCAGGCTCCTCCGTCCATGGGATTCTCCAGGCAAGAGTACTGGAGTGGGGTGCCATTGCCTTCTCCAGGGGATCTTCCCAACCCAGGGATCAAACCCGGGTCTTCCGCATTGCAGGCAGACACTTTACCATATAAGCCACCTGGGAAGCCCCTACCTATTCCATACATAGCATCAATAGTGTATATATGTCAACCCCAATCTTCTGATTGATCCCACCTCCCTCTCTCCCCCATACCTTTGTTCTCTATGTCCGTGTCTCCATCTGCTTTGCAAATAAGATTGTCTATACCAATTTTTTTTCAAATTCCACATATATGTGTTAATATACAGTATTTGTTTTTCTCCTTCTGACTTACTTCACTCTGTATGACAGACTCTGAGTCCATCCACATCTCTACAAACAACCCAATTTCATTCCTTTTTATGGTTGAGTAATATTCCTTTGCATATATGTACCACATCTCCATCCATTCTTCTATTGATGTACATTTAGGTTGTTTCCATGTTCTGGCTATTGTAAATCATTCCACGTGGTATTTACAAAACAATAACAACGCAGGATAGGACTTCAAGTTTCTACTGATGAGGGCCTGAGTTTGATCCCTGGTCAGGGAACTAAGATCCCAGAAGCCCAGGAGAAGATGGCCCAGAAGGTTCTGGTGGCGAGGCACCATCATCCAGAGAAGTTCACGTGCAGAGCTGCTGGCCTTCCTCTTTCTCCCCTGCTTACCTGGAGTGTCCCAACAAGCATCCTCACTTAGGTCTGAGTCATATGGCAAGTTCTAGAAGATCCCCAAATCACAAAGTGTTCCTATGGTATCCTCTCCCTTGTTTAAATCATCTGTTCCAGCCTTATTCCATAACTGGCTTTTAAAGTTATTTTTGTACCATAAACATGGAGAACATAAGCTTCAAGTAAATAGAACAGTGGTAAGGCTGCATTTTCACAGAAAACTATTATCAGCCTATTTGGTGATTTTAAATTAGTTTATTAATTGTATCAACACATTTACCAAGGTTTCGAGTATCCAGACTAGGCATTTTCTTAAATATTTACGTTTAGTGCTAATTAAGTACACACAATTCAGAAATAGCTTTAGCTGTTACAACAGAGAACATATTTTCAACAGAGGCACAAAACAAAAGGTATCTAAGGAGAATCAGTATTTCCTAGAATATTTTCTCACAGAAATCAAAACAATGCTAGATTTTATTTAATACTCAGTATATACATGGGATTTCCCCTGTGGCTCAGCCTGCAATGCAGGAGACACAAGAGATTTGGTTTTGATCCCTGGGTGGGGAAGATCCCCTGGAGAAGGAAATGGAAACCCACTCCAGTATTCTTGCCTGAAAAATCCCATGGACAGAGGAGCCTGGCCGGCTATATCCAAAGGGACAAAAAGAGTCAGACACAACTAAGCAACCAGAAAAAATGAAAAATATACATTATGTTGAAAAGTACTTTTATTACCCCCAAAGTTCTTCTTCCTTCTCCAAGAAATGTTGATAATTACTAGTACAACTTAAAATAAAATGACAATTTTTATAAATTCAATAAGAATTTTTATTTTTTTAATCATTAAAAAAGCTTTTTTTTGGTCATGCTGGGCAGCATGCAGGATCTTAGTTCCCCAACCAAGGATCAAATTTGTGCCCCCTGCAGTGGAAGCATGGAGTCTTAACCACTGAACCACCAGAGAAGTCCCTCAATAACAATTTTTTAAATGATCCACAACAATAAAACATAATTCCCCAAATATCTTGCAAGTATTAGTTTTAGCTATTTGCATGGAGATCTTTGAATTGTCTCAAGAGTATCACACTGAGTTGTTTTAATCTACAAAACTGACTAAAGCCTAGTGAAAAGCACAGTTTAGTAATCTCAGAGCAAATTTTGAAAAAAAATTTAAAAACATGAGGTTTTTTAAAAGTGAACATTAAAAAATACACAAATAAGGCTTTGAGTAGTTTAGGTGCTCATGGCAAACAGACCTGAGCCAAAAAAAAAAAAAAAAAAGGCAAAAAAAAAACCAACCATAAGTTAGAAGATTGGCTTTCTCTCATCATGGCATTAAATCTATGGCAAGTAGGTGAACTTCCATTTTTATATATATACTGGTGGCTCAGTGGTAAAGAATTTGCCTGCCAACACAGGAGATGCAGGTTTGATCCCTGGGTCAGGAAGATCCCCTGGAGAAGGAAATGACAACCCACTCCAGTATTCTTGCCTGGGAAATCCATGGACAGAGGAGCCTGGTGGGAGTTCTGCAGTTGCAAAAGAGTCAAATATGACTTAGCAACTAAACAACAGCAACAATAATGTGCAACTATGCGTGTGTACGTAAATATATATATATTTATATATATTTATATTTATATATATATATATGTATATATATATATATATATATATATATATAAAGCTGGTGAGACTAGATGTCCTCCCAGAGGGCCCTGAGTTCCCATGGTTCCAACTCTGCATCTGAATTCTTTACTGATATGCGTGTATCCCATGCTTATATCTACCCAAGGGGAGCTCTAAATAAACAGATTGCAAAGAACTCACAGCAGCCCTGCCCTGGCTTTGGGACACGATGACCTGAGTACACAATATTGACTGAGAATTCCACTGAGGGAGACAGTCCGGACTTCTTAGAAGTTATAATTAAATTATCAACATTTCACCTTGGCAGAGGATATGGAGTGTTTCAAGGGTTGTTTGACTGACTGACTTTCTTTCCCTGCTCCAGGTCCCCACCTGTTCTGCACCTTACCATGGAGCACACAGCCTGCTGGAAGTTGCTGCTGACAACCACGTACAGTAACAGGTTACCAAAGGTGTTCAGGGCAGCTAGTGGTCTTGAAACGATGTACGCTTCATGGATCTGATGCTCAGTGGAGCAGCTAATGGAAAGCAGGCGCGATTCGATCCGAATGACCCTCAAGATATGGAAGGGCAAAAAGCATATATAAAACACGAGAAGCAGCAGAATGGTGAGCCTGCGTGCTTTCTGCTTCAGGCAGCTGTGCGTCTGAGGTCCTTGAGTTAGGGTGTAGATAATCATTGTATAGCAGAGCGTCACTATCACCAAGGGGAGGCAGAAGGTGGTGGCGGTCAAAATTAGATTGTACCATTTGATGGTCGTGAGGTCATCTGAGCTGGTGAGGTCAGGGCAGGCAGATCTATTGGTGCTGGTGGTGGCTGTGATCAGGAAGGTCATGGGAATGACGGCCACCAGCGACACGATCCACACCACTGCACAAGCCACCACAGCCCATCGCTTTTTGTGGATGGAGAAGCAGCTCATGGGGTGAATGATGACAAAGTAGCGGAAGATGCTAAAGCAGGTGAGGAAGAGGATGCTGCTATACAGGTTGAAGTGGAAGCAAAAGCGGATGAACTTGCACATGAAGTCCCCGAAGACCCAGTGTTCTCCACCGGCGTAGTAGTGAATCAGGAAGGGAAGGCTGGTGAGATACAGCAGGTCGGTGCAGGCCAGGTTCAGCATGATGATGGTGCTGCTTCTCCAGGGCCGCATTTTGAAGATGTACGTGGAGATGGCTATCACATTTCCGGGAAAACCCACCAGGAAGATGATGCTATAAATAACAGGGAGGTAGTGCGTCTTGAGGGGGATCTTTTCATTGGTACAATTTTCAAGAGCAGCTGCATAATCGGGAAAATCAGAGGCATTTGCAAAATCATCTAGTGGCTCATTCATGGCTGTCTCCTTTCATCTTGCAAGAAGACAAGAGAGTTCAGTTTGGCAATACAGACCAAGAGAAAGTAACTCGCTGATAAAGGAAAACAGAAAACATTAATGGTAGGGTAATGAAAACAATGATCCACTTTTAAACAAAAATTGCTTGAACAGCCTCAATTGGCCACTTCTTTCTCTTTAATCTCCAAAGAGAAGAAATTGAATTTCTAAGAAAATGACTGTAAGGCAAGTTACTAAAGACATCTAACAACAATATAAAAGTTAAATGCTGTGAAAAGGGCTTCCCTGGTGGCTCAGCTGACCAAGAATCCACCTGCAATGCGGGAGACCTGGGTTTGATCCCTGGGTTGAGAAAATCCCCTGGAGAAGGGAATGGCTACCCACTCCAGTATTCTGGCCTGGAGAATTCCACAGACTGTATTGTCCATGGGGTTACAAAGAGTCAGATACGACTGAGAGACTTTCACTTCACTTCATAAGAATTAAAATGAAGGATTTGAGTGGAAAAACCCACATGTAGCTGTGAAAAACAACTTAGCAGGCTGCTACTGGGGCAAGCTCTAAGGGATCACCATTAGAGACTTAGCCACAGCAAGATCCACCATTAATCATGTACAAGGCTATCTATTTTAAATATAGCAGGTGTACATGTCAATCCTGGGCTTTCCCGATGGCTCAGTGGGTAAAGAATCCACCTGCAATGCAGAAGATGCAGGAGACTCCGGCTCGATCCCTGGGTTGGGAAGATGCCCTGGAGAAGGAGATGGCAACCCACTCAAGTATTCTTGCCTGAAAAATTCTTTAGTCAGAGAAGCCTTGTGGGTTATAGTCCAACGGGTCACAAAGAGCTGGACACAACTGAGCGACTGAGCACCCCCCAAACATGTCAATCCCAAACTCCTCTCCCAAGGACCTACGGTATAACACAAGGAACTCTAAACAACATTCTGCAGTAACCTAAATGGGAAAAGAACCTGAAAAAGGATACATGTGTATGTATAACTGAGTCACTTGGCTGTACACCTGAAACTAATATGACATTATTAATCAACTATGCTCCAATATAAAATAAAAATTAAAAAAAGATTCAGTCACCAAAACAAAATAATCACCCACGAGGCACTTCACCAGAGTATTACCTCTAAACTTGATAAAAAGCTGAGAAATATTTCTTATTATCTCTATTTTACGGAAGAGACTAAAACTGCAACCTATTTCTGATAACATCTAGTGGCATAGGTGGGATTCGAACCTCCGTTTGTCTGACTTAGAATGCATTCTCTTTCCAAACTGCTTCAGTCTGGATGGCCCTAAATGAGGGGTGCGATGAAAAGTGCAAAGGCATGAAAAGACTGAATACTGGACATTTTTAAATGTAGATTTCATGCATTCCAACTTGATATGTCCAGTGTGTTTCATTTTCAAATTTCAGCTCTTCCAACCCATTTAATGTAATCTGTTCATGTTGTGTTAGGGGGGAGGGGGGCGCATATTTGAAGGGGAAGAAGGAACAGCAGTTCCATGCAGTGTTAAGAGCTAGAGTGCAATAAACCAGAGGGCCTGACCTTGACTCTGTTCAGTCAAAGAGGAGCTGTGTGTCCCTAAGCAAGTTGCTTACACTCTCCAGTTCTGGGAAGGAGGGGGAGTTGTACTTTAACTTTCTTCTTCTTGCTTATCAGTGTTTGCTTAAATTTTGACTGTGTATTTCAGCATGAAGTTCATTTAAAAGAAGAATTACTTAAAATTAGCTTATTATTCAGATGTAAATAGCTGTTGGTAAAATGTATCCACTTACGTATTTATGCAGTGCCCACTGTGTATTAATTAGGCAGTCTGCCAGATCCTAGAGATACCAAATGAATAACATGCACAGATGTACAAGCCACTGTCATAGCCTACTTGGGGAGATGGACAGAGAAATTATTTTAACAAAGTACAACTCTGCCTCATAGAGCTGTCAATATACCACCACTACCACTACCCAAAAAGACAAGAAAAACACTTGGACGCATAATAGTTCAGTTCAGTTCAGTCGCTCAGTCGTGTCCAACTCTGCAACCCCATTAATTGCAGCACGCCAGGCCTCCCTGTCCATCACCAACTCCTGGAGTCTACCCAAACCCATGTCCAGTGAGTCAGTGATGCCATCCAGCCATCTCATCCTCTGTCGTCCCCTTCTCCTCCTGCCCCCAATCCGTCCCAGCATTAGGGTCTTTTCCAATGAGTCAACTCTTCACATGAGGGGGCCAAAGTATTGGAGTTTCAGCTTCAACATCAGTCTTTCCAATGGACACCCAGGACTGATCTTCTTGCAGTCCAAGGGACTCTCAAGAGTCTTCTCCACCACAGTTCAAAAGCATCAGTTCTTCGGTGCTCAGCTTTCTCCACCGTCCAACTCTCACAAGCACTCAATAAATGGTAGCTGTTAATTGCTAGGGTCTTCCCTGATAGCTCAGTTGGTAAATCCTCCTGCAATGCAGGAGACCCCAGTTTGATTCCTGGGTCAGGAAGATCCACTGGAGAAGGGATGGGCTACCCACTCCAGTATTCTTGGATTTCCCTTGTGGCTCAGCTGGTAAAGAATCCACCTGCAGTGCAGGAGACCTGAGTTTGATCTCTGGGATGGGAAGATCCCATCTCCTTTCCCTTCTCTGGAGAAGGGAAAGGCTACCCACTCCAGTATTCTGGCCTAGAGAATTCCATGGACTGTATAGTCCATGGGGTCGCAAAGAGCCGGACATGACTGAGCCACTTTCACATGTTAATTGCTAAGTCCTTTGATATATGAGTAATGCAAGGTTACTGATATAACAAGGGCTTCCCTGGTGACTCAGATGGTAAAGAATCAGCAATGCAGGAATCCTCAGTTTGATCCCTGGCTTGGGAAGATCCCTTGGAAAAGGAAATGGCGACCCACTCCAGTATTCTTGCCTGGAGAATTCTGTGGATAGAGGAGCCTGGCGGGCTACAGTCTATGGGGTCGCAAAGAGGCGGATGTGACTGAGTGACTAACACTTTGACTTTCAATATATTACAAAAAAGAAAGGGATCAGCTACCTGGGGACCGGACAGGGCACTAAAGGAACATCATCTAGGAGGGAACATTTCAACTTTTCAGGAAACAGGCAAGAGGAGAGGAAGGCATTCTAGGCAAAGAAAACAGCATTGCAAAGGCAGTGGGATCTGACAGAGTTCAAGGGATTTCAGGAGTGACCTCGGAATGCATTAAACCTCTATCACTTTTACTCTGAATGAACTGGGGCAAGAATAGTTCAAGGATAGGAACCTGCCAGAGGTGGGCAGGGCAGTTGTCAGAATCCTCACTCAAGAGGCCAGCGCTCCCTGAAAGTGAAAGTGTTAGTCGATCAGTCATGTCCAACTCTGATAACCCCGTGGACTATAGCCTGCCAGGCTCTTCTATCCATGGGACTCCCCAGGTAGGAAGACTGGAGTGGGTTGCCATTCTCTTCTCCAGGGGATCTTCCTGACCCAGGGATTGAACCTGTGTCTCCTGTATTGCAGGCAGATTCTTTACCATCTGAGCCACCAGGGGAGCCCGCGTGCTCCCTGGGACCATGTATTACTCATCCAACGTGAATGTGTTTCTCCTGGTCCAGTTAGTTTACTCTCAGGGACGATGCTACTGGCAGAAGTATCACAGACAGAGCACTCAGGGTGATAGGAGTCAGGCACTGCTCCTCGCAAGGATGCTGTGAGGCCAGAAGACCACAGCCTGTCCCTCGGGCAAAAGCCATAATGTGCTCATGCATGGATAGAAGGCAGTCATTTAAACCCCAAAGAAAACAGTAAGGGAGTCCCCGAAGCAGCACTTCCTGAAACCTGTTCTTAGCAAGTCCAGATTCAAGACCTCATCGCCTATCTATCAACTCCTTGAAAGCAGAAACAAGAAGTCACCTCCTACCCCAGGGTCCAACACACTGAGGGCCTCAATAAACATTTGTGAATAAAAGAATCATGAGTAACATCAGCTAAATTTATCTTGTGCTGAAAAGCTGGTGAAGCAGCAACTGTTATTTTAAAAAAAAAAGTTTGGTTCTTTTAATGGCTTTCAAGTAAGGGGCAAAATTAATTTCTGTCATTGCAAATAAACCCCTGCCACATTAATGGGTCCATTTTAAAGCATAATCATATCAGGAAAAGGCAGGCTGTAGGTAGAAACAACCACCTCATTGTTTTTAAAAGCAACAGTTCAATGTGGGATTTATTGAAGAATGACTAACTGAGAAATGTCACCTCCATCCCCTAAACCTCACTGAGAGAACAGTTTGAGTTTACCAAACACATGTGAGGTTAAGAACAGGAGGCAAAAACTAGCCGGGGCTGTGAGCCAAGTAAAATGAGGTGATTTCTTTCCTCAACAGTCTGAGAGTCCCGTGCAATTCACAGCGGCTACCAGAGCACCAGACTGCCACAAAGGAGCCATGTCCATTCAAAGGACATTGTGGAATAATGCAGTCTATTCCCTACCCTTGGCCACAACAGTGGATCTCAATCATAGGGCGGTTACAGACCAGCTAGGACTACCAGACTCTCTATAAACTAGAGATAATAATCTATCAAGCTTGAACAAAACCAGACAGATACATTTCAACTAAACTAGATGGCACAAAAATAAAAGCCAGCACCAAAGATTCGGGAATTTTCTTATATGGAAAACCCCATCATTTTAGCCTCTACTTTTTTTCTCTAAAAGTGGGAAGAGATTGCAAGGGTTTAAGGCGAGCTGTAGGATGTCAATGTTTTCAAAATGCACAGCTCAGGACCTCCAGTCCAAGACCAGCCTGCCCATGGACCTCATAGACTGGGATTGCAAGCTTTTGTGGATAAAGAAGGAGGACCAGACATGGTGTCTACTCACAGGGCCGCATATACTGCTTTGCATCCACGGAGGACTGTTGCCCACTTGCAGGGAACAAGTCCAGTGGGATGAAAGATGCAATGTGATTTTTCTCGGGTAGCTGAGAATTTTTTAGGAAACT